GAGGTCTATGCACCAAGTCCTCAGATTGTGATTGATACAGTATTTTACATTCTGTTCCTTATTTTACAGATGATATACATATACATACATATATGGGCTTGTTCACACTAAAGGGCACAAAAGTGTGACAAAAGGCCAAAAATTAGATTTTAATAATCAGAAGATATTTTATGTTTTTCATGTTTCCAAGCACCTCCTCTGTTCATTAGAAGTTGCTAGAACATAACTGTTTCATACATTAGACAAGTTTCCTATAGCGGCCCTGTTTATTTTATCTAACGGACGTGATGATTTGACGGAATGAGCTTTGCGAAAGTTTGATAGGTATTTACAGATGTCCACATTTGATTCAGAGATTCTATTTTTTTTACACAGAGTAGAAACAAAGTGATACTTTCATTTAGTCAACCAATTAAATGTGAAACCAGACAAGATTTGTTTCTTTCTCAAGTTAAAATTTTAGAGAAAAGAGGACGGAAACCATCACGTCCGTTATAAATTTTTCAGGGGTCATTTAATTAATTAATTATTTTTTATTTTTTAACGATTCCTTTTCATATCAAGTGATTTCCTGATGTTGTGTTAACCATGTAAATATTATGGGATTTCATCTGCCGCTTTTTCAGACTGAGGACATTTTATTTTCTATGTAACTGGCGTCACAGTAGAATGGTCAAAAAAGAGGCTGATTTTGTCGTTTAAAATGTCACCAAAAATATATTTGACAATCTTTCCTTTTGATTTTTTCCACACTATCTCTTTGATGTGTCTGTGTTTGAAATCTTTTTTTCCAATCTATGATAGTAATTTTAGTTTTTAAGTTATAACCTTTTAAAGTCGAGATACTTCAATTGACACTTAACTGTGAACACACTCATATATCTATATATGTATATGTGTATTTGTGTAGGAAGGATTGCCTGTGGTCACAAGGGCCATGATAGAGATCAGGAGCCTCGTTTCCAACAGTCTGCCTCAGGGCGGCTGTGGCTTCAGTGATTCAATGTGGAGCATCTTTTTATTATACAGATGCATTATTATCATTGGGAAATGTTTTGGTACATTATATAAGTAATCCATACAGATTTTTTTTAACAAGCCACTCATTTAAATGCCACGTTGGCTTTTCTATAATAGCCACTACCAGACAATTTAAAATCTCCCTTTTAGGCCAACAAATAGTTTATATTGTTCTAATTCTTTTTGAAGTGGAGCTATACCATGTGTTGTGTTCACGCACATTTGTGATTCTTTTCCCCATGTTTCTTGTACACAATTTTGTGTTAGCAAGTGGAGCATCTTTATCATAAAGCACAAACTTGGCTTTTATGTCACTTACTGTATGCAATTTAACCTCTAGATTGGGACGACATGATGCCAGTCCTGACACCACTAAGCACTTTGTCCTTGCTTTAAACAGACATTTCTGGTTGCTGTGGAGATGATGACCTTGCAGCACATTAGCGTGCTACTGCAGCATAAGGTGTTGTGTGAACAAGGAACAAAAGCGGAGATAGACCAGTGCAAGAGATATGGAGGGGGAGGCTGTCGACCAATAAAATCTGGACACTTACTATTAAAAGAATAGACAGATTCACCTATTCGTTTTAAACACATGATAGTGCCAAGTTAGCATAAGCCAATTTTTCGAAGAAAGGAGAAGAACAAGAGAGAATTGAACTGCATGCAAGTATTGAACAGGTGTGCTACAGTAGATCAGGGTATGATAAATTATGAGGCTAACAGTGTCATGTCATATTAGGGCTCGACCTGTCAAAGTAATTGTTTCAACTCATTCAATGAATGAAAGATGGAATAATTTAATGTGTGGCTGCTTCACTGCATTGACCTTTTTCCCATCCCTAACAAATTACATCAATATGCCTCAATGATGATTCCTAATGACGTAAATGTGCTTTGGTGAAGGATCCACCACTGCATGTCTATCTTTACCAGTCCCAAAGAATATATTGGAACAAGTTAAATTAAATGATGTGGGGCTATTGTGTCAACTGCACTGACCTGTAGTATTACAGCTTTTTTTCTATCTATCACACTTCAAAATATTGCAGTAGATGTCATTCAAGCACCATCATTCAACTCTTCTAAATGGAAACTGAATTGACTTTTTCTTCGTACCTGACAGTCCAACCACAGTCTCACCTAACCCTGTCTCTCAACAACTCAACTGCTAATTACCCTCGCTAACCTGCTATCAGTCTTCCCCTGGTGCCTTCCTCTTTCTTGTCACCAGCTCTTCACTGCTGTAGTTGTGCTCTGGCAGTGGTGAGGCAGTCCAGGTCATATTGATATCTATGTCTGCATTGATGTAATATCAGGCTTTTTGCGGCAGAAGTTAGCTCTCTCACCTCTTGTGTTGACCCCTACACTTCTCTTTCGTTTTCCTTGCAGTCTATTTTTCTTAAAGGTCATTGCGTATAGTGTAATCCTCGAACGGGTGTTCAAGCTGAAAAACAACTCTATGTTAAGGTCTCCCCAAGAAATATTGTTGCAGGAGAGTTAGTTTGATAATAACTAAAAGCCTTAGACACTGGCCTTTTGAGAGAATAATATTGTTGTCATTGCAATTGACTTTACATAACTACAATGCATACAGACATACAATTATGATATTTCAAACAGCAATGTGTACATGCCTCACATGGTGTCCTGTAGCTCCGATAGTCCTGACCAAGCCAACCATTATGTGGAGATGGATATATATATATTGAAATTTAACAGAATACCACTTAATAGCCAACATGTTGATGAACCAATCTTTAAAAAAACAAATGCGCACACAAAATCTTGTGTTGTATAAACAGTATTGGCCTTCTCCTGTCTCATTATTGGAGGCCCTTTTTCCAATCCCTGGTATATTCGTTAACCTTCAAATCCAGACTGCAAACAAGTGCTTGTTTCAGCCGACACATTAGCACTCGCCCATGTGGCTTATTTTAAACGAGGAGTTACATGAACCCTGGCTACACAGCTGCTGTTTCACATTGAGAGATTTTTTAAATGTGTGTTTTGTGAGGGGCTCAAAATGTGCAGGGCCGCTCTCCTCTCGTTCTTATTACCTTGGCGAGTTGATCGGATGGTATAATAATATCTCCAGCCCCTGGCAAAGGGAAATGGCCACATACATTATTCACACATGCTAAGATGCTTATTGATGACTTCGTTATTTAAATACTGTAGTTATTTGATTTTTTCAGCCATATTTTTTTCTTTTGGTTTTACGTGACTTTATATTTCTGTAAAATAAAGAAAAATTTTGAAGTAAACCCTAACCCATTTTGCACTCACAGTAATACAATAAAAGTGATGACGTCTTGTTTCACCTCGATGGCAGTCACTGGCTGCCTTGGCTTCTTGTCTTAGACATATGGTCCGCCCAGAATATCATGTTGGATATGTCTATGTAGTGCAGCAAAAATGGTACGCAAGAGCATGACAGAGGAGTAATCAATGTTTGGTGCACTTTTGCTGCATCACCTTCTAGTCAAGGCTCTTCTGCATTGTCCAGGTCCAGCATTGCCCATTTTTTTCCTCCCATGAATAGTAAAATATTTTTTACTATTATATTTCTTGTACACCTTCACCTTTTAGTATTTGAGCTGTCGGACCAAATACAGCTGTAGCAGTAGCAGTGGGAGGAGGGCTTGACAGGCGCTGAGCCTGGCTGCTTCTCCCTGGGCAGTGATTGAGCGATGGCCTGATCTGTGTCTTGTCTCACCTGGCCACCTGCCAAGTGATGCCAGACTAACAGCAAACTGATTGGCCATTTACCATCTCACCAGGCCTTACAGATCCCCAATCAATACTCTGAAACACTTGCTCATTTAAGCTTTTGATCACCAAAATGTATAGTTATGTTGTCAACAACCCTCAGAGATGGTAAAGTAAGTAACGTTAAAAAAGATACCAACCAATTATTTTAAATTCTCATAGTGCTAAAGTCATAATGGTTGTGATTTGTTGCTTGTTTGCACAGGCATTCAGTGTTTTGCCTCATTGCATGTGTTTTTGTTATACGTGTGAAAAGTGAAGGAATATAGTGTGTGCGTAGGGAACTGCGTGCCAAACGTGGTTCTCAATAGATAAACGTGGAGCCTGTGAGCTCCTGCCATTTTGATCCTGAACAGGCCCCGGCTGACATGCATCCAGGAAGAAGCCGTCAAATGTTGTCAAATCACTCATCTGCATTAGGCAAACGTTTCTGTAGCTCAACACACTTGGACAACGCATCCTTAAGCAGAAGAGCCCGTGAGTGTGTGCATGGTCAACGCAGTACAAGATGTGAGCGTTTCCAACTAGTGAATCTAACAAAACATTACACCAAACTAGATCATGTGAGCACCAAGCAGTTATGAGTGACATTTTCAAATTATAACAAGCACTCAAGTTTCTATGAAATAACAGGCACCGTTCACATTGTGGCAGATGCATGTGCAAATTTTTAAACTAATAATTCAAGTTGATTAATTTTTTCCCTGTCAACAAAACATTAAGAAAATCACATATGATTCACATATGCATAGTGAATTGAACCAAATGTGAATCGTTACACAGCCAAATAAATCTGAGGTAGATCACGGCTCAATGGTTGCTGGAGGAGTAGATCTTGGTTTTATAAAGTGTGAGCCCCTGTGCTAAATCAACTGTACTGTATATGTATTATTTTTAGCGTAGGCAAGCAAGGGTTGTGACAGTTATCTAGCTATTGCTACATCCCTTCTGCATACAACCCTCCAGATGAGGTGTATTTTTGCTGTCCCTTGATCTTTATCTTTTTCTCACTGCCTTCCCAGAGCCCGAGCTCTACTGTTAGTGATATTGTGTTTGATTTGGTTTTCCAGCTGAGATGCTGGCAGTCTGTGTGAGAGCTACAGCGGAGAGGGAAGAGGAAGATGTTTGGAGGGAGAAAATGAATTAAAAAGTTCAAATGTTTATTTGGCATGTACTTCACTGACATTGGCCATGTTTTTTTTCCTCAGAGAGAAGTGCCTTTGTCTGACTGAGCCCCATGGCGGTGTGGCCCTCCTGAAGCTGCCTGTGTACCCCGTGTGTGTCTGGACTCAATCGAACGTCAAACCAGGAAAACCCAGACCGCCAGGATCTGCTGTTGACACAGTATTTAAGTAATCTGACGACCATCCTGCTCCCCATCTACGCCACTCAGCCCTCGTCTGTGAAAACTAGAACTCCTCCCTCAGCACGCAGCCTAATACGAGGGCTTTTATTAGCTCCTGTGAGAGGAACAGCTTCTCTTCACTGTCCAGCCTCCCTGACCCTCTTTTCTCAAAATCTTTTCATCATGGACCAGTATAATCGATAGCATCTTTTGCCATTCATTTCATCTGGCTATTGAGGTTTGGCTGAAGAGAAACTTTGTGCTCTCATACAAGTTAAAAGACACAGACATTGAAGCTGAAGCTAACCACGTGGCTGTCCCCGGCCTAGGCCCAGGGTGACGGGCACTCACTTCCAATACTCTCTTAGCATGGGCCACATGGTAGACCAGGCAGAGGCCTAACCGGCTTCAATCCAATCACACACGAGGGACAAAGCCATCTAAAAAAATCAGCCCATGTCATTTCCTTATCCCATCTCACTTGTCCCAGTGTCTTTTGAAGCATACACACAGATATCTCCTGCTCCGAATCGACCCGGCCTGCCCGCTCCAAAATGGCGGTGAACGTGACACCCATAAGGGACACAAAATGGCTGACGTTGGAGGTCTGTCGGGAGTTCCAGAGAGGGACATGTTCGCGACCGGACAGTGAATGCAAGTTTGCTCACCCGGCCAAAAGCTGTCAGGTGGAGAACGGCCGAGTCATCGCCTGCTTTGACTCCCTCAAGGTGAGGCTGACACGCACCTGTGACTTTCATTCAGCATGTCTTTTTCTGCTCACAACACGTAACACTGACAGCCATTGTTTCAAATGACATCTTGTTCAGGTGATTCAGTAGTGTCTACGAGCTCACAGGCAATTACCGGTTTCATTGCTCAACTGCGGATCAGTGAGAATGTGTTATGCCATGTGTAATAGTAACTACAAACCATGACATGAAAACAATCATATTTTTAGCAGGGTGAACTCAAAATGAAGATCGCGTCTGTTATAGCCTGGACAAACTGTGGGGCCATACTTTGTATGAGATCACCTCATCAACAGGCCAAAGAAGTAGGGCACTGTGTGGATGTCACATTTGTATGGGGGACTGTAAATGTGTGTGTGCGTGTGTGTTATTTTGAGGTCATGCAGCACAGCGGGGTGTTCTCAGAAGACCCTGTAATTTGCTGTCTATTTCTACCCTGGCACCAAGACAACACACTCCCACCAAGCAGCTCCTCTGTCTTTAAGAGCAAAGGCGAAGGAACATCAAACAGCAGGGAAGACTGAGAAATATACTGGACAAGACAGGCAACTTGTAATATTAGATAGGAACCCATCAAACATTTACATTTTAAAGATACACGTTGTAACATTTCTCGGAGGAGGGTCTGCCACAAGCTGGTTTTCACATGGATGCTAGATGTTGTTTCTTTGGCAAGAATGTGCCACAGTAGTGTTTCTAAGGATACCACCAGTAAAAGTCACAGTTTGTGGAGATAGATTTTTTAAAGCTGGGGTATCTATCTGGTTTGCTTCATAAATAATCCATGTCTAAAAAATCATGTATTATCACATCAAAAAACACGATATGTTTTACATACTAGTAAGAAAGAGCTCTCGCAGTCACTACTTGATGCCTTGGGCTAGTTTTTTTTTTTCATTTTGTTGAAAATTGTAATCGAAAAAGCCGCCTGGGCCCTAATACCAAGCATTCCTGACAATTAAACATATTTCAATCATTTAATTAAGTAAACTTGTTTGAACAATCAGAGCTATTCACCATAATATTTTAGATTTTAGATGAATGTTTTTGCTCACTTTCTGACAGGCAGCTCTGAGATAACGAAAATAAGCAATAAAGGGTTTCCAAACACACAGTGACAATTGCATAGCACTGTTGTGAAAGCCACTATTTTCAAAGGATTGCATTGGACACCACAGCCCAGTGATCACAATGGTAGCCAAAGTTCAATACTGCCGCAAGCTGTGGCACGCTCCTACCCGGCCAATAGAAATAAGAAGCACGGTTGCCAGCCAGGCGAAAAATGATGTGTACATATTAAATAAAAAATAGCACAAGCTTTGGCTTTGTAAAACTTTAGTGTTTTTATAGGCACAGTTTGTTTTTTCCCTCATTACTTTGTGGAATCACACTATAGCCACATTCATTGAGACAAGAGTGTGTGTGGATTGAGGCTTAGCAAAGTGATCAGGATGAATAAACATAGGGCTGATTGAAGATCTTGGCACTGGGGAATGACCATGTCCAAACAAGAAAAATGTGTATCTCTGCACTCTTGACTGTTAAAATTGTAAAAGGATGATCAGATAAATGAATTGGAGACACATATTCACAGTTTAGTGGGTCAAAGAACAGTGCGTGGGAAGCCTGACAGAAAGATGCATTTATGTTTTTCATATGTTTTTGACTGTGGATCTGGCATACCCTTTGACATGCTGCACAAATCTTGGAGCAGCATTTGGAGCTCTCTCTGTTTTTGTTCCAGCGGCAGGAATGTGTTGGATACAGAAATATCAGTGCAGTAAATCTGGTTATTTTGGCTCAAGCGGGCGCTATACGGCTGGACCTTTTGTGTGAACTGTCTGCGGGTGTGCACATATCCTGCAATTTGTCTCCTATCTGATTGGCAGGTCTGGTGTGGGGTATTATTGTTACTTTAAAAGAAGCTAGCGTACGTCCATCAGGCCACTCACAAACCGCCACTGCTGCCGTAATCTGCAGTTAAAGCTCCTTGTGCGTGTTATTCCCTGTTCAGAGTGGCTTGGGGGCCAGAGCTTACATTCAGGTACATTCAGGTGAGAGGGATTGAGTGAGCGCCTGTGCATTGCGGAGGTCACGGAGACATAGTGAGGCGTTTGGAAAGGTGCTAGGGGAATGTGCATGGAAGCATAGCCCATCCCTGCTCTGTGCCAGGGCATTCCACAGTCTACCTCCCTCCCTTGCCTCCATGACAGAATGATAGATTGGCGTTATCCGTGGATGAATTTGTAACACAGGCCGCGGCTTGGGGAGAGAGGGCGAGGGGATATAGCAGAGGACGGCCAGGTGTGGAGGCTCGGGGATGGAGGTGGCACGTGCAGAATCCTTCTCCAGAACCATTTGTCACACCAGCCGCCAGGATTTTTTGAATTTACTGAAACGAATTGACATGGGTCTGGGTTGTATTGACAGGACAGTTCATGTGTATGGTTTTCTGTGGTGTTATACATTTTTATTAAAAGGGATGAAAATGTTACAGCAGGAGTGAGTCATTGACTGATTTGAATGGTTACCAGACGTGATTTAGTCCAAGTATTTTGATTAGATGCGTTATGCTCTGACTTTTATTTACTTTAAAGCATGTTGGTAGAACACTTTGTATCACCTAAAAACATTTCAACAATAAAGTTGGAAACATATTCAAGAAAGCCTCTCAAAGCTGTAATTGTCAACACTAAATTATGAAACTAAATTAAATGTTGTCTTATATAATTCAACAGTTGCGCTAATGCTGAAATTTGAAAAAGCATAATGTTGCTGCAATATCTGACAATATTTGAATCAATGTTGTGGTTTTTCAGCAAAGCACACTGTCTGCATCAACATTTTTCATTTTAAAATATTTTATATTTTGTAAACCTGAATGTAGCCGTAGGCAGGGCTCGGAATGCTACCAAACATATTGTAGAGCATGAATTGCAATATTTTTTTTCATGATGATTTTGTCATTTAGGGACGATGACTGAAACCGAAGCACTATAATTAGTGGAGACTTTCTTTTTTCAGTGAGCTGAAAGTAAATCTGAGGTTATTTACGTCAATTAAATTAATTTAACATTGTGCCCAGAGGTCCAAGAACATTTAACCGCCCAAGAATAACACTCTGCGAGAGCAGAACTGTCCACTGTATGATTTGATCTAATAGATGTGTTTGTGTGAAAAATGTAGATTATTCATGATAATTATCACAATCAGATCATTACCTGATTAACCATACAGTAATTACTCAAATAAACTGTGAACCAAATATAATGCAACAACCCCACAGGACCAAACGCCACAGGTCCACCATGACCTGCCCTCGCTACATAATAATAACCCAGATAGCTGCTGCGCTACAGCTCTGGTCTCATGCGGAGAGTATTTACACATAGTCTGATAGGATGTCTCTGAGACAATCTGACAAGCTGACCACTCCCCAAAACACCACGGCTGCACTCCCAAAACAAAGCTTCACCCCACGTTTGCCACTGAAACCCCTTCTGGGAATCACCTCTAAGACCTAACCAAGGACTCCAACCAGGGGGAAGAGCACTCTCTCTTCTCTCTTCACAAACAAAAGCTTCTGTGTGTATTCGTGCAATCAGCACAAAGCTTAACCAAAAACCAACGAGTTGCAACCATAAATATTGTACTGTGCAAAAATGTTATGAAAAATGCAAAAATAAGTCCTGGGGAGCCTGCAGGTTTTATTCCCTGACTCAGAGGGACCAAAGCATGTGCTCCTGATTGGCCAGCCCACGCTAACCATTATTTGTGGTGAAAAATATCTGATCAATTTCATATAACCAATAATTTGCATCTTTTAATGTGACTGAAATCTATTGTATCTCTCCAAAATTAGAATATTCTTCAAAAGTGTATTCACTTACTGTAATTTAATTTACAATAGGAAACTAACACTCACCATTTTGGTCTTCAAAAATCTGTGGTTTAGTACTCTCTATGATCCTGTGGTTTATATTTTTTATTATTCATCTCTGTAAATCCAGATATGAGACAGCTGACATTTGAAACAGACTTTAAATATAGTTTGTGAATGCACACAAACTGACAGAAACAAACCAATCAGAAACAGCAGACATGTAGATCGCTGTGCATCAGGAAAGTTGTAGTCCAAATGGTGAACATGGCTACAGGTACGGAGATAATTCAGGTGCGTTTTCCGGGGCTCTGTGACTTCAGCAGGTGTTTGTTATGTAGTCATCTTTAGTAATCTTTATTTATATATACCGCCTTTTCACTGCAGATCTGAGTCTCAAAGCGGTTTACAATTGTTAATTTTGGGCATTTGTCTCTCACTCCACACAGAGATGGGAGCGGGGCCAGTATAGGAGGCACATGCCAGAACTATTGGACATATTTTTAGTGGTAGGGGAAACCGGAGTACCCGGAGGAAACCTACGCAGACACGGGGAGAACATGCAAACTCCACTCAGAAAGGCCCTGGTCCGACCGGGATTCGAACCCAGGACCTTCTTGCTGAGAGGCGAGAGTGCTATCCACTCAGCCACCGTGCCGCCCATGTTATCCATGTCTTGTTTCAAGACGTCATGCAGGCCTCAAGATTGCTGATGCGCAGACCAAAATGCTTGTTCTTCATGTGCTTTGCATTGCGTTGCTCTCTTGTCCCTTGTTATGCATTTTATAACAAGGGACATCTGTCTGGTCATCGCTACTGTCAGAAGTTGCGGACTGGGATATTTTTGTCCATTTAGGAGCTTGTCGCCGTTCGTTCGACATGGACACAGCTAAAGCGACGTAGCAAGCGAGTGACGTGGCCTGTTGTTTCCCTTTCTTCCTTTTTTCCTTTATGACCGTTGGCTCGACATCAATCAAAACCTTGTCTACAGACCTTGTAAACACCCACTTCCTTTCAGGTGGATGTACCTTTCCACACTACATCTGAAATAGTCTTTTTTCTTTTTATACTGAGCTACATTTTTTATACTGAGCTATGT